GATGGTGATGATGAGGCATCCACGGTCGCTGTGGCAGCAGGGAAGAAAGCGCGCAGCCCCACACTCACCCGCACAAACAGACACCATTCATGTAAAAATGTCCTCTAGCCTTCTAGAACGGGAGCCAGTGACACTCATTCATGAGCAGCTTCCGCTCTTGCTCACTTTGCTGCATTTCGCACTGCAGTCTCCCTCCCCGACATGGCAAATATAGAAGAAGAGAAAAAAACCTGCCTTCTCCCCTCAAGAACAAAGCAAGCAAGCAAAAAAAAAAAAAAAAAACCTCCAGCTAAAACCACAAAAAGAAGGAAATGGAAGGGACAAAAGGCAATGTTTATAGTCCTGGCTGTGAATGAAATAGCAGGTTCGCATACCACTGTTTCTGTGAATGGAAGCGAGGCCGCTTCACTGCGCCTGCTGCTGCTGCTCCACCGACACAGCTACTGCAAGGCAATCCCTTGGGACGGCATGCTCCTGTCCAATGAGTGGCCAGCTGGATGACTCATTCAGGGAAGGCTTGCAGGATAGTGGAAGAAACCATTCCCAGGCTGCGCAGGTGAGATCTCGTTTTTCACGATGAAAAAAACAAAAAAAGGTCTTAACTAAAACAAAAAAAACATCAGATTACATGTCTTCATCTTCTTCAAAGAGTTTTTACATCATAAAAATCAAGAAAAGCATACATGCTTTGGTAATAGTAAGACTGCACTCCCCTTCTTCCTCCACAATGATCTTGTCTGTAACCATTATTATTATTAGCTCACTGTTTTCAATTCAACGTTTGAGAGAACATTTAATTAAAACATCTACAGTGTGTGCGGGAACATAAGAGCGTGTTTTAATGTGGATTTCTATCGTTATAGACACACACACACACACACACACATTTATATATCAGACTGTGACTAGGGTAGAACCATAGGAAACCATACCACCAGACAATGACAGTCAGGTCTTTGTATTCTATTTCTGAAATCACGCATAAATCCTTGAGGACTTCACCATTACTTTGATAACTGTAGCAATTTTGCAATTCTAATGCTAATTCATAATTTAGGGTAATGATAAGTAATTCCAGCAGACAGAGGTCGATCTTTGATGAGTTTATGCCTGTCACTGTTGTAACTGTGTGTTTGCGAGTGGACCGAAAGATAACATCCATCGGTGTCTTTAGAGTCCATCTATGGATGACGATGACGTAATCACTGCTGAGTCTTTTAGGCGGGAATTATTCACGAGACATCCTATTTAATTCCAAAACAATTAAAAGAACGAGAGAATGTTCGCCACCATTATTATACTGTTTCCGCATTTACATACTGATGACGTAGCATCAGGAGCAACATGCTCATGGACACTTCGAACAGGCCGGGGATTGAACTCCGAGCTTCTGAGTTGGGAGACGACCACTCCATCACTGAGCCATGCCTCCCAATAAATATAAGTGAATGTGCTTAAAATTATACACTCACGGGGCACAATATAAAAAAGAGCTCCGAATTTACCACACATGATTTTACTCAAGAAAAGATATGCCACCATCAAAAAGGCTCGAAACAAATATATGAGGTTCCGCTACAATTACATTAGTTGACATACATCCCCTTTGTGACTTAATAATCCAAAAGGTTTGACTAAATATATTGAAAGGCCCCAAAATTAAAAAGATTAGCGGTGATGTACACACCTGTTTTGTCACGAAGCTGCCATGGGACACTCCCGGACATGTGACATCGATTATCCAATCAGAAATGATGTGGAGTCGAAACAAAATGGCGGCTCATTATCGCGGTCACCCATGACCTTTTGTCCATAATTTATTTCACAAGATGTGGCCACTAAATTATTACAATATTTTCAAGTAGTTACAGGATAAAAAATGTAAGAAAACCACTTAAAACTGCAAAATAAGAGTGAAGTAAAGTAAAAAGCAATCTGAAACAAAGAAAGCAACAGTGGCACCACAGTGTCCAAGTAGTGAGGAAATTACCTCAAAGCTCTGAGGTTGGAGGTTTGAATTCAGGTACTCCACACTTCTGTGTGGAATTGAAGGTCAAAACCCACATAAGCAACGATGGATGGATGTGGTAATAAAAACAGGTGCAGGGAAGCAAGGCAGAAAGTAGGTCTAAGTGATTGAGTAAGGAGATGAGGATGAATTAATAAAAAACGGTTCTGAGAAAAGGAAGGCGCGGACGGGACGAGGAAAGAAAAAATGTCAAGAAACAAAATCCTGTAAGTGTACAAAATGAAAAAGGTGTGTATTTTTAATTACAATTTTTCACAAAAAATATGATGATGTAATTTTTGTTCTCTATCCGGACACAAGAGGGCGCCAGAGCAGCATTTCTAGATAACGCATAGAAAGGATACATGTACAGCACAAGCACAAATTCAAGTTTCCTTTATTCTTGCTTTATAGGCACATGGATACGTTGGAGAAATTACACAAAAAAGAAGCGAGTAAGAACTGCCACGTTTGAATGCTGCTGTAAACTAATTTTTTTTCATGCAGCATTTGCATACAGAAATCACACCAAGCAAGCTCCGGAGAGCTTCAAGTCCTCCATTTTTGTAGTCCCGTGGGTTCATCGCAAGTCTCGTGACGTATTTGCCTCGCGCCCCGCAAGAAGACGCGTTTAACAAGGACCTACAGGCTTTCTAGTCCCCCAAAAACTGAAAGAATAGAGGCACAGGTTCCTCCGTCTCCAATTATGATAGTGATGCATGGGAATTCGGCAGCATTCAGTGGCCATCACAGCTTTCCTGTGGCGTGGACAAAGAAGAGGTTGAATAAGCAATCGAAACAAAAAACGCATGTCAGTAGGTTCCCACAGTGCATCCTTTCCGACATCCTCCACATGATTTTGCATGCAGAGGATTGCCGCTTTTCCACTAAACTGTCCCTGCGAGGCTCGTGGCAAAATGCAAAAAACATGCTCCATTTAACTCAACACGTTAGCGTGCGCAGACTGTATCCAAGAGGACACTAAGGGCTATTAATAATAATATTAAACAATATCAGATTTATTATACATAAATATTTGGTTTTATAGATTAGGCTTGTGCTAAAATAAAGGTAAATGAACCGTAAATACATTTTAGCAGAATTATTAGGAAAATTGAGTTAATACAGTAGATGATTAGAAAATGTAGCAATGAATAGCGCATTTAAAGGAGCCGGTGAAGTAGCAGGTTAGAAAAAGTCACTTGCACCTACCCATGACTTCTCCCATCTTTTTAGAAGCTGCTCATGCTCCCTGAGCGCACTCCTCCATTGGTTCAAATCCCTGGACGGAGCGCTCTCCTCATCTGTCGAACAACCAATAATCTCATCACACCAACCGTGGCTCAAATGGATCGGACACCGCCGTCGGACAAAAAGATACCTCCGACGGCGAGGTGGAGGTCAACCTGCGACGCGTCGCTCCCCACGCCGGCCTTGGCCACGCAGCCGTAACGGGCGTCCCGGAGCAACGGCCCCGTCCGAAGCCGGCTGCTCACTAGTACCATGTTCCCGGCCAGCGGGAGACGGTACTCCGTTACGGCTGTGTCCGCGCTGCGCCCGTTTATGAGCCATTCAATATAGATGTCGCGAGGACCTGAGGGGCACAAGGGGACTTTTCACGCCGACCCAACAGGATTGCGGACTGTTAAGAGTTCAAATTACATAAATAATATTAATCATAATAGAATGTCAAATTTCTGCTTCTAATTGTTGTATTTTCTCTTAAGCTTGTAACAGATGTTTGGCCAACTTGAGTTACTTGCAACTAATGTAAAATCATCAAATAGAGTATATTTCAATTCAAAGAATGTTCCATTAGCTTTCTTTGATCCTTGAATGCCATTCTTCTGTAAAATACAACTGTTAAACAAAACAATCAAAACGGATTCAGTTTTACAGGCACATGTCTTATATTGTTCTCATGGAAGTGATTCTCAAAACATTAACACTTTGCCATCACAAGCTAGCCTTCTATGGTAGCAGTGCAAATAATACAAAGGTATAGAAAAAGAGAGATTTACTTATATGAAAGTGTGAGTGTTGTTGAAATAGGTGTGTGCCGTTGGACTTCAGAGGTCGCACTGTATTTTCCATAGAACTCAGGTAACTGACATCATTCCCATAAAAGGCTTGTGTAGAACACCGGGTAAGGTCGTAATCCCTGTGGCACACCACAAGGCCTCGGTCTCCTCAGTAATGTAGTGTTATTCTCACCAAACCAGCAAATTAAAAAAAGCAAACGAGCCAGCGTTAGACACATTTGACACCTTTTATTTTGTCTCCCTACCTACTAACCTAATGACAACCTCCATTTATTTACATATCTTTTTCCCATATATACACACAAACATCTTGACAGGTTTGCAGGCACAAAAACGGCCCAGTTGGCATAGTGGGAAGCAACACAGTGTGCGTACCATAGAACTAAAAAAAAAAAAAAAAAAAAAGCACCTCTGCAGGCATTCACAGACATTCAAAGTCGGAATGTCACCTTCTGACAGTGCTGCCACATTCAAAAGTTGGAGAGCTCAGAGAACAGGCCGCAGTGTTAGTCAGGCCATGCAGGTGAAGTCCAGACACAGATGAGGAGCAGGGTTATTTTTATTTTATTTTTTTTTAGGCTGGAGGGGAGGGCAGGGTTACATCACTCACCCAAGGCCAGACAGAAGAGCAGGAAGGCCTCTTGGGCGTGAAGCCCCCATGCCTGGTCCTTCAGCAGGGGAGGCAACAGCCTTACTTGCACCTCACCAGCCTCCACACGAGGCTTCGTGGAGGAAGAGGAGAAAGTGAAAGTAGAGGAAGGCAAGACAGATGAAGAGGCTGTGAAGGAAGGAAGTGGTGGTGGTGGCAAAAGGAAAGAAAAAGTTACATTGAGGAACAGGAGACACAAGAGATCTGCAAGAGACAAGATGGATGCTGGAAAAAGAGCAATAAATAAAACGAATGTATAAATTCACCTTAAACACCTTGTTCCGGAAAATCGTGGCCTTTGTTTTTTTTTTTTTTTAAACAAGAGTGGTTTGATTCCTCCAATAGATTTCCATTCGATCAACCATCGTCCCCCTCCCAAGAATAAAGCTGGGCTACGACATGCTGAGCAAAACTTTCCCTGAGATTTGTCGAAGTCCATCGGCCCATGACGCAGACAAAACCACAAAACAAAACAAAAATGATGACTTACTCAGCCTGTACAAAGAAAACGGAGTCCAATTTGGAAAACATTCACATAACTTACCAATTTGGTAAACAATGTTTCCAATTTGGAATTAAAGAATTAGCTTTTCTTGCTGGACCTAAGCTAAGACGGAATACACACAGACACACATATCGACGATATTTTTCAACTCTTGTGATCGGTCGGCTCGGTTATTTTATGTCTCTGAAAGATTACCCTGGGTGATTAACGTGTGGTGAGGTGTGTGTTAAAAGTGATCTTTCCTCCCCGATACGCTCGGGACCACTGACACTTGTAAGTGTTAAACCTGTTCAATATTTACAATCACAAATCATTAAGACACTGACTGTGACATCAAACAGAAGAATAGCCAATTAGCTGTTGGCGGACGCAAACAGTGCAGCTGGTTGTGTTGAGGGTTTGAACTCGTTCGCCACAATAGAAACTAAAGTTGGCAACGGCAGTGTTGTTACCAGAAAGGATAACATTCAGCCTTCTTTTTCCTTTTCCCACAATTCTTCTTGGTACATTTTGGCAATGTGGATGCCCAGTGGCACTGTGCTGCCACTCACAGGTCAGTCTTGGTACTACAGCAGCTATCGGGTTCGTTTGAGGTGATTGGAGGAGTGTGTGTTGAGTGAGTTGTGCTGGTCATCTGGCGTATACCACACATACGAGCAATAAAAACATGAATGATAATTTTTTTTCACTTCGGTGTTGAGTATCTCACCTATTCAAAATTAGTTGTAAAAATTCAGTAGGTGTGTACAGCGGATTCAAAATGTGAATTTTCAAACATTGAAATATGTCATGGGATTGAATGGGAATAAACCAGGAATTTGCAAAAGTGAAGGTTAGCTCTTGAAGATAGTTTACACAACAAAATCGACCTATTCAAAATTAGTTGTAAAAATTCAGTAGGTGTGTACAGCGGATTCAAAATGTGAATTTTCAAACATTGAAATATGTCATGGGATTGAATGGGAATACACCAGGAATTTGCAAAAGTGAAGGTTACCTCTTGAAGATAGTTTACACAACAAATTCTCTAATTATCAATAATAATTCAGATAATCGATTAATCATTTAGAGATCCTGTTTAATTTTAAATCATCAAAATCCTCAGACTTTTAGCCTCTCAACATTAAATTGTCAGATTTCTGTGATCTCCATGAAAGCAGCCTCCATATTGAATCAAAATAAAATATTTTTCAAGTTGCGATCCGACGAGCCGATGTGATGAACCTACAATACGTGATCATGCGATTCAGTTGATGGAAAAAAAAACCCCAAATTAAGTTGTAAAGAAACCTACAGGTATCTAATTTTTTTTAATGGCTGCTTTTGACAAATTGTTTTTATTTCTGCTTGTACAGGATACCTTTCTATTAAATTACCAGTACCCGCAAATACTTGTTAATTCCCATAAATTCCCTTGATTCACATGGAATGCTTGAAAACTGGAATATTAAAAAAAAAAAAAAAAAAATTCCTAGTTTAAAATCCAACAGAAACTATCTGGAAATGTTCTGCCCCTTTGCAATTTAGGAGGGCGCAGCAGCTTCCTGAACATAAAAAGCAAAAAGATGACAAGTGTGTGGCAAGAGTGCCAAGCTTCCATTTTGTTTCTAGCAATAAGGCTCATCGGCGTCAGCGAACTGGATGGACTGGGAGTCACAGTCCACGTCAAAGGGTTTCTGCGGGGGCGGGCTTTCGTCTGCAAAAGTGTGTGAGGGCACTCGCCCATTGCTGCACTCGGGCTCCGTTTCGTAGCCCGTATCGCGCAGCGCACGCAGATTCTGACTGCTGTTCTGCGCTGGCCGCTCCTTCGCGGCGATTTTGTCTGACACAACTGGCGTCTCCATGAGGCCCGCTTCGCAGGCGCTATACTCAGGCCGGGCGGCGTCGCTTTTCTTGTGCGTGCCCAACAGGGCAGCCCGCAGGTGCAGGCACGGAGCCGGGAGGTACTGCATATAGCAGTTATAGGCCACTGCAGCCAGGAAGAGCAGGAAGAAGAGCAAGAAGAGAAAGAGGAGGGCCGTGCCGTTCCCGTGCTGCAAGTATTCCGCCTCTGGGGCGTCGCTCTTCGGGGGAACCTGCTGCTCGGGCGGCTGATCGGTGCCGCTGGTTGGGGTTAGTGATGAGCGGGGCGGTGATGTGAGCTGCACGGCGGGGGTGAAACTGGGCGGGGCGAAGGCTGATATTAGCACTCTGTCAGCCTCGACTTTACCTTCCACGCTGCGCGTGATCTCCTGGCTCTGGCGGGTGGTTGCGGTCTGCGAGACCTCCAGAGTCAAGACGTAACCAGCCAGGAGGCGTGTGAAGTTCTTCCCAACGCCGGCGACGAACTCCACAGACCAGCACTCGTATAGGCCCTGGTCCAGGGAAGCCACGCTGTAGATGAGCAGGCCGTTCTCTCGAATGAAGTGGAAGGGTGAGGCCTCGGTGAGGAGCGAGCCGTTGGATCGCCACGTCACCTGCGCCATGTTGGAGCGCACCAGGCATGGCAGCTCGGCGGAGCTGCCAGGCTTGACCGAAACACGCTGGTAGTCCTTCAGGGGCACAATGGGAGCTACCAAACGGAAAGCAATGTCAATTTACCACACCATAGTCACAATACTGAAGGTCTGAAGGAGAAAATGAAACATCAAATGTATAAAAAAATAGCACTTTCTGTAATTTTTCTTGCATTTGCTGTTAATATTACAACTATTATCCTTGCATTTTCCACTCAATTGTAGTCCTCTTCATAGAAAAATTAGAAGTGGTTTTTTTTTAACTAGGACTTTTTTTTGTGTCAAAAATTGAATGTTACTGTCGCAATGCTACTTTCTCCTGAACAAATTAGGATCAATTAATATGAGATATTATCAATCAAAAATCACTTCTACACAATCCCAAATAATGCATAATTCATTTTTTATGGCACCTTACCTTTAGGACATTTGTCTGCATCACCACTGAGGCTCTGAATTAGCCCCCTGGAGGGAAAAAGTTTTTTTTTTCAAAACAATAGCAATAAATGTTGCAATGACAGTGTAAAACACAGGGAGCAGTGAGCTGTCCTCAAAGATGATGTCTTGGCTGAATCACCTGAGCTGCTGACTGGGCGTGTCAGAGATTTTGACGCATCGGGCAGTGTGAGGTTCCCAGGCACAATATGGATCTCGGGCCAGTATGCAGTCATCACAGGACTGATAGTTGCGGCAGAACGCCGTGGGAGACTGAACAACGCCAGAGTCAGAACCGGCATATAGGGATTGCGTCTGTGAGGAGGGTCAGAGGATTTTTATACTCAAATGCAGAGGGAGAGAAAACCCATTTTCCCCTGACGTGGAAAAAAGAGGTATCTGTTCCTTGGTGGAAATGATTAATATACAATACTGACCTCGGAAGACAGCACCAAGTTCTTGATGGGCTCGGAGTTCTTCAGAAGCTGGATTTCCTCCACCATGTGGACCTCTTCTCCGAGGACCACTGACTTGTGTAGGACCCCCTTATCTAAAGTGGCGGAACAGTGGTTAGCATGTTTGCCTCACATTCTGGCATGTTCTCTCAGTGGTGGCATGGATGGATGAATACAACAAGAAATGTGTTTGCCATTGACTGAACCAATTTCATGTTTCATTACCCGTTCCGGTAAAAATGACATCAAAGATGCTCCCGTCAAGGGTGCGGACGCGCTCCACGACGACCTGCGTGTAGTTGACGTTCTTGGTGATGAGGCGAGGCCTGTTGCCAATGGGCAGGACGGGGTCCTCCAGCAAGGGGTGGTCCTTGACGAACTGCAGGGTCTTGTCGGGGAGGTGCAGCGAGCTCGTGATGTTCTGCTGCCTCATGCGGCTGTTGATACACTGCCAGAGCACACGGAGCTGTTATTAATATCGGGGAAACACAGATGGGAAGGGCCTCGTGTCTGTTTTTGCTTCGCCTTGCAAGTACACAGGGCTCCGCTTCCACAAGAAGAAGCACAGAATCAGCTGATGTACAGGATATGAACTTACTGCTCCAGGGCGTGGTGAAGGAGTAACGCCATTGTAGCGAACCCACTTAGTGTGGGACTGCTCCACGGTGGCCTTCTGCATGTACTTGCCCTTGGAGAAGACCTCATCCACGGCGGACATGTTGTAGGCACATACTGCCGACAGACCAACATTTCCCCTTTGGAGACGAGAGGGAGGCCATGATTAAAGAGACATTGCACAAAATACACTGTAACATTTCTGTATTTAGTATTAACACACAAGTATGACTGACCACTGAGAAGTGAAGACCCCGTAGATGACCGTGTCCCTCAAGTGGGCGGCCTTCAGGATGAAGACGTCGTGCACCACGTTAAAGACAAAGTTGAGTTCGGGCATGGAGCACACCAGCTTGGCTTTCAGGAAGGACGTCCACTTCTTTTGCAATGTCCTCTGTCCTCCCTGGTCGCCCTGTGTTGAGGAAGCCCGATTGAGATGAGAGCTCGGGGAAAAGATAGCGCTACGAAGGCTTATGATGAATGATGTAACCACCTTACAAACACGAGCCACCCTCGGAATGAGTAGATTTCCGAAGAACTCGTACTCCACGGACACCTCGGTGAAGAAGTAGTAGATTTTGTCATCCTCGCCGTCCGTAGGGTTCTCCCCTTCCCTGATCACGTCGGCAAAAACAAAACTGGGCTCTGCAGAAAATATGAGGGGAAGTGTTCTCATAGGAATGTCCCAAACACTTGAAATTCAAACATTTATTGACCCAGGTGACCAAATACAACCAAAATGTGAACGTCACACGAGCACGAAACCTCAGTTCAGCAAGAGTCAAAAGGAACATCAACTGTTTAAAACACAGTATGTACATTGGCACCTTGATTTACAAGTTAAATTTTAAACTCAATTTAATGGTGAATACAATCTATTTTCGCCATTGAAACGAATTGCGTCACGTCGAGTATAAATAATTCAACTTTAAGGCCACTTTCAGTATATTGAGGACTTTAAAGAGAGATGTAAAACAACTGATCATCATTCGAGGTTCCACTGTTGTCAGGGCGCTCACCGTTGAGCCATGATGTGGAATACTCAGTCCTCAGCAGGTACGGTGATGGAGAGTATCTAGAAATAATGGGCTCACTACCTAAGAAGTTGTAAGCGGTCCCAGAATACAGTTCTCCATCTGATGGATGAAAAAGTGGAAAAAAAGCATTTTATTTTCTGTGGGATGATTAGCAATTTCAAAAAGTTCTTTAAAAGAGTCCGTAACTCACCAACCATGATGGTGGTGAAGCTTTGCGAGGGATCAAACGAGCACTTGCCCCTGCCGTCTTCTGCTCGACCCTCTAAGGAAAAGTCAGCCAAAGTCTGCAAAAAACAATTTCAAGATGCACCAAAAGGCAATTTTTGGGGGAGTCATGTCTACCACTGTGACCAAACGTGAGGGAAAATTTACCAAATAATCACACTGCGGTTGAAAGGCATGTGTCCCGCACACGTAGAGCCGCTGGTCATCGGCGACCTGCAGCACCCGGATGTAGTTCAGACAGTCGGTCTGGATGCCAACAGAGAAGAGTGGATCCAAATTCACCCTTGACCAAGCTCGTGATTCAATTTACTTGTATGTCAAACTAGTTTTAACCATTGAAATCAAGTGAAATACCATAACTCGTAAAATACAATACAATTTTTCGTTACGTTAGGGGGGGGAAAAAAATCTGAAATACACAGTAAAACATTAAAAATGTTGAAAAGAAAGAAAATGGCTTTATGAGGTTTAATTACCGTAGATTAGGATAAAGAAAAAAACAACAACAACTATGTGCATGAAGCTGTCGCGATCAAACGACGCGTCATATGTGGGCCAATGTGGGTAATTCAAGGCAAACGAACCAGAATTCTCGCTCTCTCACCTCCTTTGATTTTCCTTTGAGAGTGCACATGGCTATGGGGGTCTCGCCAACTTGCCACAGAACCTTGAACAAAGCAGTCCAAATTAAAGCGTGAGTATACAGTTTAAAAAAATATATCATATACTGTATGTTAAAACTGTCTGGATGGCCTGACACAAGATTATTATAAAAATGATCTTTGGAAAAATTCATCCCCTCCTAGCCCCAATTTATGCCTTTTATTTTATTTTAAATTATTACGATTATAAAACTTGTCACACCGTGATTTTGCACTGTACACGCGGCCGCACTAATAATGACAAGTTTCCTTCATACCTTGTGGTTTCGGACAGTCACATTCTTCTTGCTCAGCTCGAAGATGGCCTCCCGGGCGCCCACATAGAGTGCGTCCCGTTCGTTGCTAAGCAGCAGAGTGGAGTAGTTGGAGATGCCCGGCTCGGAGAATTCCATCAGCTCCAACTCTGAGCACAGAACCACAAAATTGATTGCATTTTGCTTTTCCTTTGGCTTTTTGTATTTTACCTCCAGAAAGGGGTGCTTTGGCCCTAGAATGGATAAATTCACTTCACATTACTTTGCTGGTTTCATGGTGAGTTATAGAAATGGGCAATGTCCCAGCCAAGTCAATTTCAAACATTGCCTGTACACTTGACTTTTACAATTGCCACATTCTGACAGTTTAAGTTTAGATGACTTCTTATGGGAAAGATTTATCCTGAAAGGTCAAAGGTTTATTGCACCGCATTGTTTTTATTCTCCCCTTGCTTGTCAGGGATCAAGGCCATTTTCGCTCGAGACACATCTACCACAACGCACAGACGGAATAAAAATAGCTTTTCCCTGAGCAGGAAACACAAAAAAAGGGTTGTCTGACACGCTTCTGAGCAATACATCACAATAAGAAAAGATCAAGGATGGATTTTCTTTTGTCAGCGCCAGGCCGTCGTCGTGGTCTCACTGCCAACATTGGGTTCTGACAAGATAAACAGTCATTTACAGAGAATTACATGTGGAACCGTCAATTAAAACATGATGTCGGGCAGACACTAGGAAGGGTTCGTATGCTCAGTCTGCATCTGCTTCACACGTCAAGTGGCTTCCATTGTGTCTTTTCTAGGCATTGTGGCTGACAACGCACAACCGGACTGTGCTTGCTCATGGAAAAAAACTACAAAGACTCAAGTCGCATGCATATGCACAATCACATGGTCTGGAGAACTTTTTTAGGCTCCCGATGGTGCCGGCATCCTCCCAAAATCTGCTGGTTAGAATAGAAAGCAAGCGTGTACCATGAATCACGGCTATTCACGAGGGTTGGGATAGAGTGAGGACCTACAAAGGCAATAGGTTTGTGTGTGCTTCAAGAGGGCTCACCTTGGTGTCTCCAGGAGGTTCGGGGTACAGCATGGGGTCCGTGGGTGGACACCTCCAGGAGCAGTCCCAGGAACACGCTTAGCATGCCATACCCCATGTTGGACTCCGACAACTTCGTAACTGTGAAATTTCCTCTGTGATACACAATGGCGAGAGTGAGACAAACGGGGTCGCAATTCAAAATGCATTTCACAATTTGGATGACATGAATAAAAAGGAAGAAGAGCTCCGCACAGGCTTATCTTCTCACGGTCCGTTGACCAAAAATGGGAAGAGAACACAAATCCACTTCCCTCATCCTGAAATGTGACATGACTGACTCAATCTCATGTCACTTGGTGTTGCTTGTCACATGCAGTTCAAGAAGTTCAGTACACTGCACACTGCACACTGCATCACGCTGAGATACCACGTTTGGTCTGTATTGTAATTTCAAGTGCTGTTACAAGCACCCAAAATGTTAGCATTATCCAAATAAAACTGTAAATGGATGACGAAAAAGAAACAGGCACAATTTTGGGTCCATGTTGACATCTAAAGTAACTTTTGTTTTTTTTTTATTTTATATTGCGGCATTACTATGAGGAAAAGTCAATGTTGTGAGAATAAAGTTGGGATTTTATGAAAATCGTTTTAATTCAAACTACCGTATGCAACGTGAACGTGACAGATATAGAAAGACATTTCCATAATTTTAGTCCATGTTTAACGCCATGTAACGGTCAATATTTAAGACCTGACCTCGGGGCGGCCAACTGAAATTCTCGGGATGTGTGGGGAAGATTAAGCGAAAATATTAAACCAAATCCCTAAATCTGTTCTCAATCCCGGCTGCATGTAGAAGTCTCCAGGTCAAGTTTTACGACAGTCTGACATGGACTGAGGCCAGATTAACTAAAGTTGGAATGAAATTATTGCTCAAAGTGATCAAATGACATAATTTAATTCAAAGTGCTTCCACTTTCTTTATCCAATCATGTGACGGGAAAGCTGCATAACTTCAGGTTTTTTTTTTTTTATCTGAAGCGACATGCTAGCAGAGTTGATTTTTTTTCACACTTTTGGTGGCACCCGAGTGTCCACATGACGTCATATCAACAAATAATATTGTGACAAACACACAAAGGGAAGGTCACACACTTACTCACAAAGAGAGGGTAAAGTGATCCGGACGAAAGCGGGTTATTCTTGTTTTTCCACAACACCCTCAAAAGATACCTGCAGCAAACGGGTGAGTCGGCCACGAGAAGGTAGAGATAACAGGCTATTGGGTGTCTCGTAAGAAGAGGACGCATAGGTTATAGCTGTTCCCTGGTCTAAAAGTATTTAGTGGTGACATTTTGTTGTACAGATGTTAACATGATCCCCAGCAAAAATTACTTAAATGAGTGCAATATGCAAGCCGGGCCTACTGTAATCAAGAACGTACACTTTGGGATCTCATTCCAAGATTTTAGAATGTGTTGGAAAAAAATGTTGAAATAGTAACCTTTTTTTTTTTTTTTAACTTTAAGACATAATTCCAAATATTTGCATTTTCAGGCTCCAAAATGCTGTTTTTATACAAAAACAAAGAAGCAAAAAGTGACAGTTTTATCCACTGTCACTTAAAATGGTCTCATTTTTGGTTGTCTTAAAACCATTAAATGGCATATTGGACCCCGTAAGTATTTATCTATAAAAGCCCCTAAATCTCGATAAAAGAAAACATATTAGGGTGTTTTTCTAGATGGCTGTTACATTGGTGTTCTGGTTCGAGTACAACTGACGACAAATAATCCATTGTTCTCTTGTGACCCAAAAGGACCGTTGAGGCTAATTGTAAATATAGGTTAGTCATTACTTTTAATAACTAGGGTGCTGATGGTGGGATTGTACATAAACAATCAATCACTTCTGTTGGGAAAATAGAGTGGATGGGGGGGTGGTTAATTGATTATTGATTCTGTAGTCAATGAGAACAAACTGGCTAGGGCCGTTCTGACCTCCCAAGCATTGGGATCACCAACCAAACTTTGGAGTTTCAGGCACATACTACGCAAGAGGGGGGTGAAAGGGGTGTTGCTCCAAGTGCACAAGGACCAATTGTTTACTGAAGATGGCCTGCACTCACTCCGCTGCCTGCCAACCCCCCACCTCCATTTCTCTACATCAACAGTCCAGAGTAGCAAACAATGAACAGTGAAGTAGGAGAGGACACAGTCACAGTCTTGCCAAACTCAATGCCGCCACAGTTTGGCTTATAGCAGCGGGTTCGCGGTTTGCAGAAGCGATCATCTGGTAAAATAGTCGGTCTGGAAAAAAAAAAGGGGGGGGGGGAAGGGCAAGAGTCCGAATCACAACTTTCTAGGTGTCCGTGAACTCTTAACCAATCCTAGCTTGCGCTGTGTATGCGCCCCATTTAGGTCAAGGCTTAACAAAAGCTTAAAAGCCCATTCGAAGGGCTTGGTGGGCTACAGTAGCAGAATGAGCAAAACTGGCAGCCACCCTACGGCCGCTGACAGATTTAGAGGCGCCGCCGTACCGGGCCTGGATATTCAAGATGGTTACCATGCTGGCAGGCCTCTTTTGAGCCCTTTGTATTGCCTTCTCGGCTCCTTGGGCTTCACAAGGAGGCGGACACCTGCTCATGGCCACGGGGTTCTCAGTACCATGCTGGTGACCGAGCACTGATGTTGGCTGGATGCCCACTTGAGGAAGAGAGGATCGTGTAAGGAGCATTCGCCTATCTGTGTGCACACGAGAACCGTGGCTATGCAATTTGGGATTCTGTCCATTTCCCAGGAAGACTTTACACGTGTAGGCCACGATAAGATCCAAAGAAATGTCAAGGTTTAGCTGGAATGTAATTGGGGAACATTTATTCAACAGGGAACTTGTGTCTAGAAGATTGTGCAGTGGTTCAAACTCTCTCTTCTTTTTTTTTTTTTTGGTGGGACAGAGTTACCCCCGGAACAAACAGTTGTTACATCCCACAATACAAGATGGTGTCTTCCCACATTTCAAATGCAATGCAGACAAGACTCTGGGCATCCGGAGAGCATAGCGGCGAAGGCGGATGCTGCAGAATTGGGACATTCACGAGCTGCCAACCTCTCAGAGCTCACGCTGGCTCATGCATCAACATCAATGCCACAGAGAAGTACTGCCTCTTATTCTTCCTCACGCCAGCAGACTGGTCGATGAAACAAAATCAAACACCCTTACGCATTGGAATTGGTTAGTATTTGAATATATAGATTTTTAAAGATTTTAGTATTTTTTTAATTCATAAAAATCAACATTATGATATTAAAATGCTTAAGCATCATTGGAATTATGAAGAAAACGTGGCATACCATGTTGACAGAGGCCAAACCTTCATACATTTTACATGTAGAGTACCTGACAATGCATTAAAGAAGTTTTAATAGTAAGTCAGTAAAACTCATACATTGAAGACACTTTTTTTTTTCCATTTTCACTTTAGCCTGTCTTAGTTAATATTCTTTTATGTACTGTACTTTGACGAAACAGCTGGATTTTCAATTTCAAATCCCCAAATTTTATGAGTAGGATTTGCAAGATCAAGCGGTGAATCACATATGGCTTTCCTCCCTTCATCTGACCCCCCGGGGGAGGGATCGGTGCGGCGCAATCCCAATATTTAGGAGAACTCCTCGGATTATAGCGGTCTAGCTCCCTAAAATCACCACGTGAACCAGCAGCAGGGCTTCCAGAGGTTCGGCGAGGACTGTGAAGTCAACGTGAATGAGGGCGGTCATCACTTGAAACACAATGCTGAGGATCGGCCCGATAAAAGTACTAAATGCACGTTTGGCTATAAATATGTCAATGGAAGCGATACGGTAAACTAAGAGGTGGGCAGGACAGTGGACCACACAAGCCAAAAGCCTTAAAACAAATGCCGGCAGCTTTCGGGTTCCCCGCAGCATGCTGAACTGATTCTGTCAGTCCAGCCGAGGCTTTAACAATCTCTGCGTTTAGGCTTAACCAAGCATTACAACTCCAGCTGGCAATCATTCATTCGTACGATGATTGAAACTTCTGTCCCATTCCAACGTCATGGCTACAGGTGGATAAGTGTGTGGTTTTTGGTCTGTGTGTTTCAAAGGCTGCCTCGTCGTAATTACTTCGGGAAAAGTGCAATTTCAAGATCTAAATGTACCGGTGTGACCTCCGGTGGTTGGCCAGCCGCTGAGAGATGACACAGCAGTCTGGATGCATTATCCACTGAAACCTCACCAGATGACAGATGGACGGTTGGATGATTATGTGATTAGATACAGTCGTATATGCCTTATAGCTTGTAAAATATGCCTTAACTGTCAGACAAATTTTGAACTGGCATGTCATCTGACTAAACCTCATTTCAACCACGATAAAAGGGCTTAACCACCGATACCCACTGTAAAAAATGACACAATACTACGTTTCTTTTTTTTTTCCAGTTTAAACTTTTGACGTTAGCTTCTCACGCCAGCAGTGGATCAAAAGGAAGGTGAATTTTCATTAGATTAAGAGTGCTTTTATCTTATTTATTTGACAGTGGTTAACTCCTGCTAAACCCTTGACGTTACCGAAAAAAATTGCCAGACTCTGCTTTGGTTTGTTTGACCAGCATCACAGAACAGATTGTGTTTCAACGCTGGAGGAACATTTATACAATCCACGCCTTTCCACAAATTATCACGAGAACACAAGGGAGCCAAAAACAAAACTACTCCTAGTTATATTGAAAAGAGTGTGGCTGAATGATCAATGACTGACCTAAATAGGATAAGAGCTTGTGTGAAGGAAACACGATACAGAGGATGTAAAATGGAAGCCCTCCTATGTAATGAGTAGCTGTGGTACCGCGGCGGAGCGAATATGTCAACCTAAAGTGGCCACAGAAAAGGCAAATGAGGGTTCAGGTCCTACAAAGGGTATATTTAGTATGCCGATGGCGAGCTTTTTAAAAAAAAAACAACAAAAAAAAAACAACACGCCCGTTCTTTTAGTCACATGGCGGAGGAGGATCTGAAAAACTTAAGAGGAGAGTGAACATATGGACACGTGATGTGCGTGGCGAGGATTTCCATGCGACGTTGCCTCCCATTTTCCGCACAGAAGGTTCCTTTGTGGTCATTAAACTATTTAAAAGGAAAAGCTGGAGTTTTGATTAGCATCTGCATCTGCAAAGCGGGGAAAAACAAGCTAGCGGAGATGCTAACGTTAGCTCAAACAGCAGAAACGGATGGACTTCGATGTATAACGTGAGTCACAGAAGATCCAAGTTCAAGTCCAGCAGCTATTTATCACGAAAACAAAGTGAAAGCAGCTCCTGAAACACTCGGGAACAGCAGACACATTTATTTCTGGTCTTTTTTGAGTCTGCTGACTGGCCCATGGTTATTCTTCTCTCTGTGCCAATCTGATTATTGGATAAAGTGTTGCAAAAACAACGAAAAAGCAAAACACGCCAAATTCCTTTGTTGCTTTGATCCAGGCTGAAATAAGGTCTGGTGAGGCACAGTTGACAGCTGGAGTGGTATGCACTAAGGTTGTAAAGATTCATCCACTACCTTCAAGTATCGATTCACAGTTTGTTCCTGAGAGACAACAATATTGATTTGTGCTTATAACAAATCAAGTAAATACACCTATGCTGGGCGTGTCTGTGGTAAACAATGAAAGGAGGAAATACAACCATGTCACAAGCATACAGCCATTCACAGACAAGCCATTCATTCGACGCAGTTTTCCTTGAGGCCGCTATAATGGCAGCCAGGCCTCTGGGGCACATTACGCTCGCCTATTTTGGGAAGCGGTGAAAGCCCTGTTGTAAAGCCTTGCGGTCGCAAGTGTGTGACTAGTAGTCCGATTTGTGGTCGTTTTGTTTTCTCGGCAGTCCGGGGCAGGTGATTTTACCCGCTGTGGGGCAGGGGCCATTTTTGTTTGCATAAAGTACTCCAAGGCTAATACTAAATCTAGACTGATCAAACAAGTGTTTGATTCAGTATTTGAGGGTTAATGGTTTGGAGGCTTTTCATAACAGCTCCTCTGGCACTCTGTTATGGGGATTGCACAGAGGACTGCAACAAAGGCTCGCAAACCTGTGTTTTTAATTTGGAAAATAACGATCGACACTTTTTCTGCCTTATGGACAAAAAAATAAATAAAACAGTAACTGAATCTTAATTTGTTTGTGCATTTTCTGCACGTAAAAAAAAATAAAATGTATTAAAAACAATTATGTTTGAGGAAAATCCTGCTCAACTGTTTTAAGACGGCTGGGGAATGAGAACAAAGGCAAAAGCTTACGGGAATACTGTAGTCTAAATTGGAATACTGCAAATAAAGTCATAACTTTAAGATATGTAGTTCTAAAATTCTAAAAAGTTTAAAACTTTTACAACAAATAAGAGGGAATAAAGTTGTAACGGGAGACTGGATTCATTGGCTTACATTTAAATCACTCTCACGGCCGTTTACGCCCATGTTGTAGCGCGCAATTAATCCGTCAAATCAACTCTCCCACCAGTCATTTAAAAGTGGAGCAAACATCTCTTCACATGATCCTACATCTCATCCGCTGTGCTTCGAGTTGGCACGCATTCCCCATGCCTCTTCGTTCTCTCAACAGTCTTTAGTGGCCAACAATTTCACGGTGGTAAATTCTGTCCCAGCGTGGACAACTACTTCCCTTTGGAGTTGTGTGTGAAAACTCACGGCATCACCCACAAAGGCTGCCACAGTACCGGGAGGGTGTCCTCCTGAATTTGGCAAGCCAACAGTTTAAGCCGAAACAAAAACACAAAACAAAAACAACAAAAAAAATCCTCACGGAGCACAATGGGGACAAACACAAAAACAAGCACGACAAAGTGATGTCGATCGTTTGGGAAGCAATTGGAGATTCCGAGCACAAAAAAAAAGTAAGGTAAGGAGCAGTGAATTAGGGAGAGCAACCAAAAAGTAATAATGGTCTTCTCTCAGAGAAGGCTTTGGCAATTGGTTGAAAGACAGGGAACGGTGAAAGAGCAAAGTATGATGTGAAGTTCACAAAAGCAGGCAGCTGTGTGCAAAATCATCAGCTTGCTTCGAAGAGGAATTGAGGGTCGGATAACAACCAATCAAAAAACACCAGAGGACAAAGCGGAATAACATCAAAAGGGCCAGATGTGGTCATGCAAAAGGGAGTAAAAACAAGAAAGGAGCGCAAAGCCCCAAGGTGATTCCAGGGGCAAGGGAGGAGTAAAGGGTAGTCCGGCGGGGAATGGTCGGGCAAGCATGCATTATTCGTGTTGGAGCAAGCCAAGCACACAAGCAGCTCGGTCGCGGTCTGCACAGCACACACACAAAAAAAAACAAACAAAAAAACCAAAACACCGGGATTGAGGAGTAACTTTTCTGACCTGTGGCTCCTTACAAGATGCGGCGCTCTTCCGCTGAGGAGAGTTATAAAATCCTCAAGCTAGGTGGAGGGGGCGAGAAGAGAGACAATCAGACAGGACAGTTATGAAGAATGAGTGTCATCAGCCTGCTTCACTGAGCCAGAAAAAAACTGAATGTCTTCTCTTTGCACAAGTACAGTACACCAGCTTTTATTCCCACAGGCCAACAACGGGTTACATATTTGCCCTTTTTACTGTTCTGTGTGCGGCGCTGGCTTCATTTCCAGGGGTATATCATTAAACCCAGAATAAGAAAAACAAACGAAACATTGGTAGGCAAACACATAAAGAAAACTGAATTTAGGTCAAAGGAAAACAACAATTGTGCAGCTTTTATGATGTGTACACAAGAATCAAACTATATTGTGGCAAACGAAACTAGACTTCAACATATAAACATATAAAGATACATTAACATGAGATTAGGGTCAGCTAGCTCCCACGCAGCCCTTCAGTGCGCACTCCAGATTTCACTCCATTGTTGATGCCCACACAAAGGAACCAAACACGGATGCAAAGGGAGCACAAACAAACCATACAAGTCCCTGACTCCTGCCCTCCTCTGACAGCCTCGATTGAGACGAGTGCGATGATGACACTGGTGGGAGATTGATGAGCTGCGGGTCAAAGGCTACAGCCCCTTGGACGTGGTTAGGAAGCACTCAAGACTGTTGGCCGCTCAGCTCCAACAAAACCCGCTGACAGCTGATGCAGAGGTTTTTTCCTGCGTGATTCGGAGAAGGACGCGCCTTCATACGTCTTTACGATCGCCTGAGTGGTGACACCGAGGTCCGGAAAGGGCACCAAGAGGAAGTTAAAGGCGAAGACTTGAATGGGGACTCTTCAGACTTAAAACTAATTTATCAAATGGTTCCCAATGCAGAAACTCAGTGAGTAGGAAACGCAATGACAGATGACGGACCAGGGTCACACCGGTTTGACACCCGACTTTCCACAAGGGAAAAAGATGCTGAATTAAAATCATTGAGGGCTTTCTCCAACACAAAAGCTCACATTTCCAGGCAAAACTTTTGAGTGGAGATCCGTCGGACTACATTGTCTGAAACATGTCAAAGACAATGGTAAGCAGAACTGCAGTAGGTTTTGTTGGATGCATTGATGATGAACATTAGCTTCTGATAGTTGGCACATATTCCAGTATTAGGTTTCGTCTCTTGCAACGTGCGCATTGCATGCGCCGCATGAACAGATCCGCTAGACTGTTTGAGAAAACCACACAAAATGGCGAGTGTAATTTGGCAGCTTGGTGATGAAGTGCTGCCAACAAAAGTGAAAAATACATAACATGCTTTTACCATCTTGACTCTCCTAGCCCATTTGGCATGGGACCAAAAGCTGTACTTAGACATGGCCCATTAATAGAGTGTCATGATGAACAGTGGCTCATTTGCACGGGACAGGACAGTTTGCTCTCAGTAGGCCCGATTGCAGCAAGGCCACAAAACAAAATGTCAAAAGTAAGTATGGGTACAGAGTCGCGGTACTAAACTGGCCCCGGGGCTGAATTATTAAAACCTGGAGCATTGACAAGCTCCAAGCCCGATTGCAGCAAGGCTACAAAACAAAATGTCAAAAGTAAGTATGGGTACAGAGTCGCGGTACTAAACTGGCCCCGGGGCTGAATTATTAAAACCTGGAGCATTGACAAGCTCCAAGCCCGATTGCAGCAAGGCTACAAAACAAAATGTCAAAAGTAAGTATGGGTACAGAGTCGCGGTACTAAACTGGCCCCGGGGCTGAATTATTAAAACCTGGAGCATTGACAAGCTCCAAGCCCGATTGCAGCAAGGCTACAAAACAAAATGTCAAAAGTAAGTATGGGTACAGAGTCGCGGTACTAAACTGGCCCCGGGGCTGAATTATTAAAACCTGGAGCATTGACAAGCTCCAAGCCCGATTGCAGCAAGGCTACAAAACAAAATGTCAAAAGTAAGTATGGGTACAGAGTCGCGGTACTAAACTGGCCCCGGGGCTGAATTATTAAAACCTGGAGCATTGACAAGCTCCAAGCCCGATTGCAGCAAGGCTACAAAACAAAATGTCAAAAGTAAGTATGGGTACAGAGTCGCGGTACTAAACTGGCCCCGGGGCTGAATTATTAAAACCTGGAGCATTGACAAGCTCCAAGCCCGATTGCAGCAAGGCTACAAAACAAAATGTCAAAAGTAAGTATGGGTACAGAGTCGCGGTACTAAACTGGCCCCGGGGCTGAATTATTAAAACCTGGAGCATTTTTTGGTCTGTGTGTTTCAAAGGCTGCCTCGTCGTAATTACTTCGGGAAAAGTGCAATTTCAAGATCTAAATGTACCGGTGTGACCTCCGGTGGTTGGCCAGCCGCTGAGAGATGACACAGCAGTCTGGATGCATTATCCACTGAAACCTCACCAGATGACAGATGGACGGTTGGATGATTATATGATTAGATACAGTCGTATATGCCTTATAGCTTGTAAAATATGCCTTAACTGTCAGACAAATTTTGAACTGGCATGTCATCTGACTAAACCTCATTTCAACCACGATAAAAGGGCTTAACCACCGATACCCACTGTAAAAAATGACACAATACTACGTTTCTTTTTTTTTTCCAGTTTAAACTTTTGACGTTAGCTTCTCACGCCAGCAGTGGATCAAAAGGAAGGTGAATTTTCATTAGATTAAGAGTGCTTTTATCTTATTTATTTGACAGTGGTTAACTCCTGCTAAACCCTTGACGTTACCGAAAAAAATTGCCAGACTCTGCTTTGGTTTGTTTGACCAGCATCACAGAACAGATTGTGTTTCAACGCTGGAGGAACATTTATACAATCCACGCCTTTCCACAAATTATCACGAGAACACAAGGGAGCCAAAAACAAAACTACTCCTAGTTATATTGAAAAGAGTGTGGCTGAATGATCAATGACTGACCTAAATAGGATAAGAGCTTGTGTGAAGGAAACACGATACAGAGGATGTAAAATGGAAGCCCTCCTATGTAATGAGTAGCTGTGGTACCGCGGCGGAGCGAATATGTCAACCTAAAGTGGCCACAGAAAAGGCAAATGAGGGTTCAGGTCCTACAAAGGGTATATTTAGTATGCCGATGGCGAGCTTTTTAAAAAAAAAACAACAAAAAAAAAACAACACGCCCGTTCTTTTAGTCACATGGCGGAGGAGGATCTGAAAAACTTAAGAGGAGAGTGAACATATGGACACGTGATGTGCGTGGCGAGGATTTCCATGCGACGTTGCCTCCCATTTTCCGCACAGAAGGTTCCTTTGTGGTCATTAAACTATTTAAAAGGAAAAGCTGGAGTTTTGATTAGCATCTGCATCTGCAAAGCGGGGAAAAACAAGCTAGCGGAGATGCTAACGTTAGCTCAAACAGCAGAAACGGATGGACTTCGATGTATAACGTGAGTCACAGAAGATCCAAGTTCAAGTCCAGCAGCTATTTATCACGAAAACAAAGTGAAAGCAGCTCCTGAAACACTCGGGAACAGCAGACACATTTATTTCTGGTCTTTTTTGAGTCTGCTGACTGGCCCATGGTTATTCTTCTCTCTGTGCCAATCTGATTATTGGATAAAGTGTTGCAAAAACAACGAAAAAGCAAAACACGCCAAATTCCTTTGTTGCTTTGATCCAGGCTGAAATAAGGTCTGGTGAGGCACAGTTGACAGCTGGAGTGGTATGCACTAAGGTTGTAAAGATTCATCCACTACCTTCAAGTATCGATTCACAGTTTGTTCCTGAGATACAACAATATTGATTTGTGCTTATAACAAATCAAGTAAATACACCTATGCTGGGCGTGTCTGTGGTAAACAATGAAAGGAGGAAATACAACCATGTCACAAGCATACAGCCATTCACAGACAAGCCATTCATTCGACGCAGTTTTCCTTGAGGCCGCTATAATGGCAGCCAGGCCTCTGGGGCACATTACGCTCGCCTATTTTGGGAAGCGGTGAAAGCCCTGTTGTAAAGCCTTGCGGTCGCAAGTGTGTGACTAGTAGTCCGATTTGTGGTCGTTTTGTTTTCTCAGCAGTCCGGGGCAGGTGATTTTACCCGCTGTGGAGCAGGGGCCATTTTTGTTTTCATAAAGTACTCCAAGGGTAATACTAAATCTAGACTGATCAAACAAGTGTTTGATTCAGTATTTGAGGGTTAATGGTTTGGAGGCTTTTCATAACAGCTCCTCTGGCACTCTGTTATGGGGATTGCACAGAGGACTGCAACAAAGGCTCGCAAACCTGTGTTTTTAATTTGGAAAATAACGATCGACACTTTTTCTGCCTTATGGACAAAAAAATAAATAAAACAGTAACTGAATCTTAATTTGTTTGTGCATTTTCTGCACGTAAAAAAAAATAAAATGTATTAAAAACAATTATGTTTGAGGAAAATCCTGCTCAACTGTTTTAAGACGGCTGGGGAATGAGAACAAAGGCAAAAGCTTACGGGAATACTGTAGTCTAAATTGGAATACTGCAAATAAAGTCATAACTTTAAGATATGTAGTTCTAAAATTCTAAAAAGTTTAAAACTTTTACAACAAATAAGAGGGAATAAAGTTGTAACGGGAGACTGGATTCATTGGCTTACATTTAAATCACTCTCACGGCCGTTTACGCCCATGTTGTAGCGCGCAATTAATCCGTCAAATCAACTCTCCCACCAGTCATTTAAAAGTGGAGCAAACATCTCTTCACATGATCCTACATCTCATCCGCTGTGCTTCGAGTTGGCACGCATTCCCCATGCCTCTTCGTTCTCTCAACAGTCTTTAGTGGCCAACAATTTCACGGTGGTAAATTCTGTCCCAGCGTGGACAACTACTTCCCTTTGGAGTTGTGTGTGAAAACTCACGGCATCACCCACAAAGGCTGCCACAGTACCGGGAGGGTGTCCTCCTGAATTTGGCAAGCCAACAGTTTAAGCCGAAACAAAAACACAAAACAAAAACAACAAAAAAAATCCTCACGGAGCACAATGGGGACAAACACAAAAACAAGCACGACAAAGTGATGTCGATCGTTTGGGAAGCAATTGGAGATTCCGAGCACAAAAAAAAAGTAAGGTAAGGAGCAGTGAATTAGGGAGAGCAACCAAAAAGTAATAATGGTCTTCTCTCAGAGAAGGCTTTGGCAATTGGTTGAAAGACAGGGAACGGTGAAAGAGCAAAGTATGATGTGAAGTTCACAAAAGCAGGCAGCTGTGTGCAAAATCATCAGCTTGCTTCGAAGAGGAATTGAGGGTCGGATAACAACCAATCAAAAAACACCAGAGGACAAAGCGGAATAACATCAAAAGGGCCAGATGTGGTCATGCAAAAGGGAGTAAAAACAAGAAAGGAGCGCAAAGCCCCAAGGTGATTCCAGGGGCAAGGGAGGAGTAAAGGGTAGTCCGGCGGGGAATGGTCGGGCAAGCATGCATTATTCGTGTTGGAGCAAGCACACAAGCAGCTCGGTCGCGGTCTGCACAGCACACACACAAAAAAAAACAAACAAAAAAACCAAAACACCGGGATTGAGGAGTAACTTTTCTGACCTGTGGCTCCTTACAAGATGCGGCGCTCTTCCTCTGAGGAGAGTTATAAAATCCTCAAGCTAGGTGGAGGGGGCGAGAAGAGAGACAATCAGACAGGACAGTTATGAAGAATGAGTGTCATCAGCCTGCTTCACTGAGCCAGAAAAAAACTGAATGTCTTCTCTTTGCACAAGTACAGTACACCAGCTTTTATTCCCAC